GAAGGAGGGAGAGCGTCTCCTAAAGCACAGAGCTAGCCTGGGGAAGCGCTCCCTCCTGCAATGGATACTCTTGGGGTGATTGCAGACTTTATAGGCACCTGGGGGATCCTTGCCTTGAAAGTCAGAGAAACTGAGTACACTCAAGCCAGACAACTGCTGGACTCCCCTCTCCTGCCATGGACAGGATTTATAAGCTGGGCCCCACCAGAGTGGGAAGATAAGCCAGGCATCTCCCTTCCCCATAGACTCACTGCCCCAATCCATGGCAGATGGTGACCTCCAAACCCAAGGGTGCACTAAGTATCAGAATGGGGATGAGCAAAATTCTCATCCCTGCTGAGCTGCCCACAGCAGATGCTATGACCTCGTCATGCCCAACCCTGACTCTTCGAGGGAACCCTGGGTGTTGAGATGTCCAGAAGTGGGTGGATGACAATACTCTCACCTTCCAGGAGGTGGGGAGAGTAAACCCAAGTAGGGCTGGGTGCAGCAGGAGGTGGGGCCAATGTCGGCAGACTGGAGGATGTGGGACAGCCTGTGTGTTGGTGCTCCACTTTCCCCTCCATGCTCCCTCCTGTCCCTCCCACAAGCTCCACTATCCTAGGGGACTTTGCTTACAAAGTGTATTCAAACATAAAATTATGAGTTTCAAGGCAGCAACTATAGAGCTTAAATCCCAAGCATGGAGCTCTTCGGAACACAGGGTCCTGGGTGAGTACAGTGTTGCTGGCCCTGAGTAAGGAATGTGGTGAGCTCCCAGATGAACCAGGTGGCAAGATGCCTTGGAGAAGATGACTCTAACTTTGTCATTTGTATTTGGAATCTCTTCTCTATTTGGGAAGGATTAGAGACTTAGAAAATGAGTTCTTGCTTAATTAAATTAAATGCGGCCTAAAAATTTGTTCAAGGATCCTGTTTTTTTTTTTTTTTTAAGATTTTACTTTTTTATTTGAGAGAGGGAGAGAGAGTGCACAAGCAGTGGGAATGGGAGAGGGAGAAGCAGACTTCCCGCTGAGCAGGGAGCCCCATGCGGGGCTCGATCCCAGGACCCTGGGACCATGACTTGAGCCGAAGGCAGACGCTTAGCCGACTGAGCCACTCAGGTGCTCCTGTTCAAGGATCTTATTAAAACAATTTACTGTGCTGCCCCATCAGATCAAAGACATTGTTTAGAACCAAGGGTTCTGAATTATGGAACTTTTCATGTCCTCTGTGGTGCATAAGAATGCAATTTCTAACTGATATAAAAAAACATTTGAATGTTTTTTTAGTGTGGTATCAAACTCGAAATTTTAGTGATTTAGTAAGCACAAACCCTTATGATTTAAGAAAATATAGATACTCAATTCCATTAGGAGTGTGGCAACTGAATTTTACACTTTGCACTCATTTCTCATTGCCCATCTTCCTTGGAATGGATGGAATCACCAACTGTGTGTGTATCTCTGTGTGTGCGTGTGTGTAACTTTGAAGTAGATTTTTTTTAAAGATATTCACAAACAGTCACACATCTGAAACTTGTTTTAAGCTTTTCTGTCTGCCTTTGGAGAACCACCTTTAGGACTTGGAGTGGTCCACAGCATCTAGTCAGTGCCACTAATATTGCGGAATGAAGTGTTGTGAGGTCATTGGATTGGTAGGGGTCAGTCTATCGAGGCTCCCCAAGGAGACATTGCAGGGATCTGAGACCATCTTGACATTTCTGGCTCTGTGGACAAACTTAGGCCAACAGTTGGGTTATAATCTTTTTAATGAAGCAGCTAAAATCAAAGCCAGGTGCTTCCTTCAGTGACTCAAACCTGGAGTCAGAAGTTAGATGTACAAAGATCAAAGCCCGAACTGTCATAGAGGATGTTAAGTTGGGAGCAGGACCTGGGAGCCTTCCATTTTGATTTAAATTGTTGTCAACATTCCCTCCAACCCCCATCCTTTTTTTTTCTTCTTTTTTGCAGGTGCTTCATCTGTGCAAGTGAATTCAATATTTCCAGACTTCTCAAATTCCTCACTGGCAGCAATATCATGTTAGTGTAAAGTCTATTCAATGACTCAAAAAGTCAAACATTTTCCCCAGGACTTTTGATGATAGAGATTAATTCATGTTACCAAATGCTATACTTGTAATTGACTGGTTCCCTAAACTGACTCCTACTTAGCAATTACACTTGTAAGTATAATTATACTTTGGTATAAGTTTGATTAAACTACTTTCGAAATACTTAAGCACATTTTAAATAAGAGGCTATACGTCATCGATGGTTATCAATGAAAAATTCATGCATGCATAACAATTTCTGATTCTGTGGACCTTTCCTGGGGGGAAAAATACCATTTGAGTGCCTGCTATGTGCTAGGAAGATTGCAAATGATCTCCTCTGTATCCCTCACTGCAGCCTGAGAGATGTTCTATTATTGTCCCCCAATTCCCAGAAGTGCAAAAAGTTGACCTAGTTATCTGGGGTCACATAGGTAATGGGAAGCAGAGGGAAGACGTAAACAGTAGTCCTTGGAACCCCAAAACTCCGGCTATTGTCACCATGCTCTCTCCCTTAGTGTCTCACTTTTCCCAAAAGAACCAGCTTTGTGCTTCCCTTTTCACCAAGAAAAAGATTCCTTCCCTCTTCCACCCTCCATGCGCCCTGGGGCAATATTCTCCCTTTAGGAGATTTTTCAAACTCTTCCAGACCCCTGGACCATCCCTCCCCTTTACATTCTTGGTGACTTCTCCTTTCTATTACAATATCTCTTAGGAAGAAATGTCGGGAGAGAGCCCGGAGGATTATATTCACTGCCAACTAATCTTCTCTCTCCTCCGGGCTCCTTCTTCCTTTCTCTTCAGTGAGTCATTACTTTGAATAAATATCTTCTTCGCTGAGCAAGATTTCAGCAGCAATTTTTACAGCCTTATTTTTTTTTTTTTTAACACAACGAGGCTCTTTTCTTTCTAGATGTATTTAGGCTTATTGTGAACAGCAGGAAACAATGCTAGAATCCTGGATTCTAGAATTTTGTCTGGACAAAATAGCTAGTGCCTAAAGAAAGAGCCTTCCAGAAGGCTCTAAAGGTAAGCCTCCCATAGGTATCTTTACATGGTTGTTTAAAGTGTGTTCTCACCAATTGCCTCCTTTTGTTCTCCAACAACAGGGTGAAATAACCCGAGTGGGTGATTATCACTTCCATTTCCCAGATTCAAGGCACCACAACCCAAGTTTTAAAAAATTGGTGGCGGGCAGGTGTAGAACCCAGTTCTTCCCTGGCAAGACCCTGTTCTAGCCATGGACTCTGCCACCTCTCTCCAGGAAGGACCTGCAGGGACCCTTCCCCGGGCCCCGGGGCCCCTGCTCTCTACAGCCAGCCTTTGATCTGTTCGTCTCTGGACTTTCTCAGCCACATGCCTCTTTGATATAAAAGGAAAGTGAGAAAAGTAAATGTGCAGCAAAAACAAATTGTACAAGTCTGAGGAAGTGTTTCTATCAATATTTGGGTCTCTTGTTTAATTATTTTTTTAATGTTTGTGCAGTTGTCTATGTGTCTTTTGTTGTGAGCCTGTATCAATATTTTTTGTTTTGGAGAGCAAATTCCTAGAGAGAGAGAGAGAGTTGTGTCTATTTTTCTTTTCCAGCTTTCCACAAAACTCCCAAACTATGTGAATTTTTTTTATGTCAAATTTTCTCACCCGACCACCCCCTCTCAATTTTGTTCTAATTATTTTAGAAAAAATAAATAAATTATTTGATTCTAGGAAGTATTTATTTAAGCTTTTTTTTCTGGAAAATTTTCAGCTGGTTCTGGTTCTGAACATGAGCAACACTGACTCATCAGCATTTGGTTCTGTTCTTCATACCAAGAGAAATCGAGAGTTATAAACTTAAAGCTAGACCTAAGGAGTTAGCATTGGTTTAAAAACATGACTTTACCTGTAACATATTTGAGTGTGGGTCTTTGTTCCCTGGATATATCTGACCTTTAACCATGAAGGATGACAGAGCAGAGAGGATACAGTGCTTAGGGAGCCCCTTGAAAGCACAAACAAATGATATATTTATAATATAAAATGTATTCTATTAAGCTTGACAGTTTTCACCAAGTGGGACAGAGAGCTTCCCTTCATTCCACACCCTTCCAGGGACAGCCATCTACACTTGTTTCCTCTGACTTTTAGGAAAGACAATATCCAGTGACCTGCCTATAGGACATCGATCAAAAAGGAGAGAAATACGGTGGTCCAAATACTTGGTCTCCACGATGCCAAATAGCTGGATGTTCGTGGTCTAAACAGATTGGAAATGGCTTCTTTGTGGCCATAGTCTGAGCCTAGCTGTGGTTGTATTTGGAGTGTCCATTTGTTTATGCAGCCCTGTGAGTTAGAATGCAGATTCCAACTTAATTTTTTTCTAAACTCACGGAAGCCCCCCGGAGTGGGTGTGCACTCCACCTGCAGCGAGATTCTGGGCTCACCCAGGGTGGTGCTTGTTTGGTCAATGACTGTTCACTGAGAACTCCATGCCCACCCAATGCCCTGATAGAAAGGCTCTGGGGACAAATAGGTTGCCAAGCCTTCTCAAGCGGAGGGCACAAAATACTTGAAAAGGAGCAAGCTTGCCAGATTAGCCCAAGGCTTCAGCTGGAGCTACCAACTTCTCAGGGACCAGGGCAGAAGGGACATCGTCTGGGGGAGGAGTGAGAGAACGTGCTCCTGTACATCACTTCCGTGTCTGAGAAGCAACTGAGCTTCTGATGGGGGAGAGGAACCTCAAGGGTGGCCAGTCCCTGATCAGCCCTGTCCCGATGAAACTGTGATTTCTGCAGAAGTAGCCAGCCATATTAGAGTGGATTGCCCACTGCTTCCCACTAACATCTTTGGTGCTGACCAAAGCAGGAGTGACCAAGAAAAGCCAGTTGTCTTCTACTTTCCTCCTTCTTCCCCTCTTTGCCCTTCCCTCTCTTCCTATAGCCTTGCGTTGTTGCTTCATTCAAACATTTATTGAGTAAACCTATGTGCCAGGGGCTGGATAGACAGACCAACACATATCATGCAATAAACAGAGGTGCATATGCAGCGGGACGGGGACTTAGAGTGGGTAACCAATTCTGAGCAAGTTAATTGGGCCTTACTGGGAAAATTTCCATCTGGAAAGGGGTAGCGGCATCCTTACTGGTGGGAGCACCTACTCCAAGGCTCAGACACTTGAACAGGCATAGACTGATCAGTAGTCCTGATTCCTTTGGTAGTAAATAACAGAATTCCACTTAAACCATCTGGGATAAAAAAAAAAAAAAGAAGTGTAGATTTATTATTGGGACATGGCAGGGAGGGCATGAGTATTTATCATCTCAAAAATACCTCTTAGATCTGCCTCAACCTTCACCTTCACTGTCAGCACCTTAGTCCAAAGGGCAGGCTATCCCATAGGACCCCTGCAGAGGCCTCTTCCTTCCTTTTTGCTTACCCCAATATAATGCCTGCTCCATTTGGCAGCCTCTAATGTTCTTGTATTTATTTATTCTTTAATTTTTAAATTTTTTTAAAAGATTTTATTTATTTATTTGACAGAGAGAGAGAGTTAGTGAGAGCAGGAACACAAGCAGGGGGAGTGGGAGAGGGAGAAGCAGGCTTCCCACGGAGCAGGGAACCCGATGTGGGGCTCGATCCCAGGACCCTGGGATCATGACCTGAGCCAAAGGCAAACACTTAATGACTGAGCCCCCCAGGCGCCCCTCTAGGGTTCTTTTAAATTGCAAATTAGATCTCAACTCTTCCCTCAGATCGCTGGCTTCCCATGGCACAGAAAACAGTCCAAATCCAACATGGCCAGCAAAACCAGGATTCTTGGCTATCTGGTGCCACTGTCCTGTCCGATCTCTGCTGGACCAAACCCTTCCCAATCTCAAAATCTCCAACCCCACTCCTCTACACTTCACCGTACCCACTCATCCTTCCAGTCTGGGTGTAAATGTCACTTTTCAGACTTTTCTGCCTCCCCAGAACCCCCAGTCTAAATCAAGCCACGCCTCTCCTCTCATAACACACTGTGCTTTTCTTTCCTAGAATGTATCATACCTTGCGATCACATATATTTATGTGTTAGTCTGTGTAATGTCCATTGTTCCTGCTTGACTGTAAGCTCCCTGGGGGCATTCAGTGGAAATCTATGGCAAAGAATCAGGGAAGTGTTTCTTTTGTCAATGTTTCTCAGTCCATTTACAGAGAGATTTTTCCCATCTTCACAGGGTTTCCCACATGTTTTGTGGCGTTCAACTTTTTGTAGAGAAAGGATCAGATCATGAACAACTTCATTGTTTGGTTACATGTATTTATCAAAACTATAAATGTGGGGCCTGCCAAACAGTCCACATCTATAATAAGAAGACATGAGAATTAATTTGAAGCAAATGAGTCAATTATTTGTTAATTCAGTCTTCTCTAGATGTTTCTGGAATGTGTATCTTTGGGAAGAGAAGGCAGTTTTTGACTTCAGTATACATTTGCTTGGCAATCCACAAACATTTTTTTAAAAAGATTTTGTTTATTTATTTTGACAGTGAGAGAGAGAGAGAGAGAGCAAGCAGGGGGAGGAGCAGAGGGAGAGAGAGAGAATCTCAAGCAGACTCTGCACTGAGTGTGGAGCCCAACACAGGGCTCAACAGCATGACCCTGAGAACAGGACCTGAACAGAAATCAAGAGTTGGACTCTTAACCGACTGAGCCACCCAGGCGCCCCAGCAATCCATAAACATTTTAAAAAGTGAAGAAATAGGGGTGCCTGGGTGGCGCAGTTGGTTAAGTGACTGACGCTTGGTTTCGGCTCAGGTCATAATCTCAGGGTCATGAGATTGAGCCCTGCCTCAGCATCAGCTTTCAGTGGGGAGTCTGCTTAAGACTTTCTCTCCTTCTCCCTCGGCCCCTCCCCGTTGCATGCTCTCTCTCTCTTTCTTTCTCTCTCTCAAATAAATAAGTAAATCTTAAAAACAAAAAAGTGAAGAAACAAATCTCACAAACCTGTGATCATCAAGGCCTTGACTTTGACCACAATCACGTCTACACTGTTTTTCCCTCCAGGCTGGTTTATCGTAGTTCCTTCTATGGACATCTCCCCTGATGGTCATTTCATTGATTAGTATCTACAACTGAATTGATAGGAAGCATAAAATTAATGCAAAATCTTTTGGCAATTCCACCTCCCAAGCCTCGTAAACAGATGTGGTAACGTCCTAAATAGAATACTCAGGTGTGTTGAGAACTAAGAGTGTGGGCTCTGTAGTTGGAGGGCAGGTGTTCAATTGTTAACAACCATAGCACCTGGGGAAGTCATAGGACCCTGGTAAACTGGGGGCAATAATAAGATCTACCACACAGGGTAACTGACAATTAAGTGAGTTTAAAAATGCAAGGTACTTACAACAGTGCCTAGCACATAACTAATCATTCAATAGAAGATTCTCTCTCTGTTCTCTGTATTTCTTCATTTTCAAACTCTACCAGGTTTTACAGTTCTCTCCCAAATAGCTAAGTGAAAACAAGTATATGTTTTCAGACTATAGAAATACATATTCAATCAAGATGTAATTTCCTTGAAATTTGTCATTATTGTTGCCAAGAAATATTTTGACACAAGGATTTTCATAAATGTACCCTTAAGGAGGCACAGTTTTAGGTTTTATTTTTACTTTAATTGTTGTATATGATAGAAGTAAGATTTCATGTGTATTATTAAAAATACCTGTGGAATACATACAGTGGAATATTATTCTGCCTTAAAAAGGAAAGCAATTCTGCTACATGTTAACCAAGGAGGAATATTGAGGATGTTATGCTCAGTGAAATAAGCCAGTTACAAAAGGACAAATAATAGCATCTGTTTACAAGACATTGTAGAAGAGGAAAAATATTTTTCCCTCTACTCTTTCAAATTCCTAGCCAGGGGTCCTATAACAAAAGACAAATTGACAAGATAAAAGCATATCGATTTATTAAATATAAGTTTTGGGTGACACAGGAACCATCATAAGGAAACAAGGACCCAAAGAAGCAGTGAAACCTGAGTGTTTTTAGACCAGCTTTGATGAGGATGGAGAGTCATGGAAAAATGTGATAGGACAATGGTATAGGTAGGAGCTAATTATAGGGAAGTGGGAGAGCAGCAATGCCTGTTTGTTCAGACTCCTTTTGGTGTCCCTCTGTCTTGGAGGTCAGGATGCTCCTTTCCACCAGGTACTCAGAGGGCACCTCTCACACGAGGGTCTCTAACCTACTTCAGGGGAAGGTCAGAGAGTCCTTCCTGCACCTGCTGTTTCTCAAATTCCTTTAGCTGAAAATATTCAATGTGCCAAGTGGCTTTATTTTGGGGTAGTATGTCCTGAACTCTGCCAAGCTACCATGAGTAGTCACATTCATAGACACGGAAAGTAGAATGGTGATTTCCAGGGGCCACGTGGAGAGAGAGAAATGGGGAGTCGTTGTTAAATGCGCACAGAGCTTTAGTTTGGGAAGTTGTGAAGGTTCTGAGATGGATGGTGGTGCTGGTGGCACAACAGTGGGAATGTACTTAATGCCGCTGAGCTGTGCACTTAAAATGGTTAACATGGGAAATTTTATGTATATCCTACCATCGTTCAATTTTTAAAAATTTTTTTTAGATAGAGCATGCACATGAGCTGGGGGGAGGAGCAGAGGATGAGGGAGAGAGAATTTTAAGCAGGCTCCATGCCCATTGTGGAGCCCAATAAGGGGCTTGATCTCATGACCCTGAGATCATGACCTGAGCCAAAATCCAGAGTCGGACACTTAACTGACTGAGCCATCCAGGCGCTCCATAGTTTAGATTTAAAAAAAATATTATGGTAATAATATTACCATACAAAGTAAAAATCAAAGTTTCCTTTAATTTGCTCCCTCCATTCCTTAAATTTCTTTAGTCTCACTCTCCTCTCAAGGAATAATTCAAGTAATAGTTTGCTTTACTTTATTTAGTTAATATATGGCTGTAAATAGTCAGTATTCTACATAAAGCATGATATTTTTAAATTAAGTTTATTTCAATTCCAGTATAGTTAACATACAGTGTTATATTAGTTTCAGGTGTACAATATGGTGGGTAATTCAAAACTTCCATGCATCACCTGATGCTCATTAAGATGAGTATACTCTAAATCCCCATCATCCCCACCCACCTTCCCTCTGGTAACCATCAGTTTGTTCTCTATAGTTAAGAGTCTGTTTCATGAATTGTCTCTCTCTCTCTCTTTTCCCCCTTTGCTCATTTGTTTTGTTTCTTAAATTCCACATATGCATGAAATCATATGGTATTTGTCTTTCTCTGACTGGCTTACTTTGCTTAGCATAATACGCTCTAGCTCCATCCATTTCATTGCAAATGGCAAGATTTCATTCTTTTATAGCTGAGTAATATCCCCATTGTATATATACACCACATCTTCCTTATCCACTCATCAGTCAGTGGACACTAGGGCTGCTTCCATCATTTGGCTATTGTAAATAATGCTGCAATAAACAGAGGGCTGGATGTATCTCTTACCTAAAGCATCATTTCTTTAACCATTTATTTCACTTTTGATGGGCATTGAGATTATTTCTAATTTTCCATCATTGCAAAATACCACAGTGCATTGTGATGAATCTCTGAGCAAGTATGTGATTTTTCTGTAGTATAGATTCCTAGCAGTTGACTTGCTGGATCAAAAGCCAAACACATTTCAAACTATGAAAGGTGATGCAAAAATGTCCTTAAAAACGCTATCCATTTGTATCCACACTATATAAGTGAGCCCACGTCTGGCAACACTGGGTGTTTTTAATCTTTAACATTTTTGTCGATCTGATGGGTGGAAATAGTATAATTGTTCTTCTAATTATAAAGTCACTCAGTGCTAGTGTAGTGATCACATTTTCGAATATTTATTAGATTTACCTTTTTCCTGTACATTCTTTAGTCTGTTTTTTGTTTTTCCCCTATTGCTTGCCTCTTCCTTATTGATTTATAGTAATTCTTTGTATCTTAAGGATGCAAAGTATTTGTCTATTATAGGGTTCACATATATTTTCTTCTATTCTGCTGCTATGTTAACTTTGCTTATCAAGTTTTCTGTTTAAAAATTTATATTGAGTTGCAGAGTCAAATCTGTCAGTGATCTGGGTATTGTTTTTTGTTTTTTTTTAGGAATTCTTCATTGTCCCTTTATAATTTATATAGTTTGTTTTAATGCTATTTAAATATTTTATTAACTTGTATATTTGCTTATATATATGAGATAGTCTCCAATAGCTGTATAATCCCTTCAATTTCTCCCCTTAGTAAGCTGCTTTAAATTTGGTCTTACCATGTGCTCAGAAAAGGATCATTCAGAATAGTCTTCAATTTGGACTTTTCTCCATTTAGGATCTGCGTCTGCATTTCACCCTTGAGTGTCTATTTAACTAAGTACCTATTGAAATAACCTTCTGTGGCATGTTCATTTCTTCTCTTGCTACTTGAGGGTATGTTTGTGCTTTTTGTGTTTGTTTTTATTTTTAGAAATCATTCGGGGCGGGGGGAAAGGTGCCGCATTATCCTAGCAGATACCAGAAGAACAAAAGCCTGTTTCTAAAAACAGCCTTTGCGCTGGTGACTGCTTTGTGAAGAAATTTCATAACCAAAGGCCCGTTAACAGGACTGATTATTTAAGACAACTGTGGTTCCTGTGTAGATTTCTCGTGCAATGTGTGAACCACACTACTAATTTACTCTTTGACCAAATGCTCCTCTTCCGTAATATGCTGTACTCCCCTAAAGCTTGGGAGAACAGCTTTAAGCTTCTCACTTCTTTAGTAAAGAACTTCTCAGTTGATTTCAAGTGAAATGCCAACAGTCTCACTTTTTTTCAAACACACTTCACAGCCATGGCTGTGTATCCACTTTAAAAGTGTATGTTTTGTGGGTGGGGGTGCGGTGCGCTTGGAGCAGTTGTCAGATGTTTTATTTTTGGAAAATTTCAAATAACATTTTGGAAGATAATTAAGGGTTGCTCAAGTTTCCTTCAGAATTAAAAAAAAAAAAAGGTATGGTTTACCTCCTTTGTGCATTTTTGCACTCAATACTTCACTTGTCACCTCCTCCTCTATTTTATAAATCTTTTAATTAATGGTGTTTATTCTCCTCTCAGTCTGGTCTGAGTCGTGTTTTTATGATCATATTATTAGGAAGTGATAACATGTGTGGATTTTTTTCTGTATCTGGGCTTGCCAATCACTATGGAAACAAGCAAATATTTACATAGCTCAGATACTGATTAATACCTACTGGTTATTTTGACATTATAAAGTTACTGTTTGAATGTAAAGAATTTCTCCTGAATAGTAACCTGGTCTATTCTAATTTATTTACATTTGTAATTTTCCCATCAGAAATTAGTCCAGTAACTATTGCTCCATCAAATTAAAACCATTTCTGAAAGAGTTGGGGTTTTTTTGTTTTGTTTTTTGTTTTTTTTGTGTTTTTTTGCCAAAGAATGACTCAAAATCAAGTGCTAGATGTTTGAAAATGGTTGTCTTAAATTTTTTACAGGGACAAGTTCTGTAAAACAAAAAAACTCACCTGACATGAGTAACACAGATAAGTCACCTAAGATAATATCAGTATTATACTATGGGCAAGATGGTGAAGGTCAAAAGGAGGCTTTAAGGAGACATTTTATTAGGACCCTAAAGGAACATTTATCTAGAAATGTAAGCCCTGCAATTTGGCCCCTTGAGGGCACTCGATAATTCCCTCTGAGGACAAAGTTACCTCACTCTTTTACTCTTTCTTCATTTAGGTTGTCTTCTTTTCCTAGGGGAGATCTCTTTTTTTAAATTTATTTTTAATTTTTTTTTCTAGCTGAGGATCCAAAAAGTTGTAGTCCATATTGCAGAGAAGTGGTTCATCAGACCTGAGTGGCCATCAGCGTCCCCTGCAGGACGTGTTAAAACACAGATTTCTGGGCTCTACATCTAACCTCTGAATCAGCAGGTCTTGGTGTGGCCACAGAATCCGTGTTTCTAACACATGCCCAGGTAGTACCGTGGGCCCAGTAGGCATTGCGCTTTAAGAAACCTTATCCCGCAGTCTTGTTTTTTCTTCTTGTTAACCAAGTTGGGAAGACTTTATAGACATTGCAGAATGTTTTGAAACAATCTTTAAAATGGCTATGTAGCATATTTAGGAGTAGAGTTGAAGCTTCGTGAAATTCAAACAAAATAAGTTTATTATTCCCATAAAGCTGGGAAGTGGTACCATAGACGTCCAAGCTGCAGAGTGGTCCAGAGAGGGGGAGTAATAGCAGAGCCCAGTAATAGCAGAGTCATAATCTCTTACAGGAAAGTGTTTCTCAAACACTATGGAAGTATCTCCTTATTAATCAATCCGATTGAACTCTTAAATCACATAAACCCATAATTAAAAGGGGTGTGGACTGGACAAGTGGAGATTGAATCTGTGGAGATTGACTATTATTCACATTGTTCATTAATATTGCCTCACATTCTTCAAAAAGACTGTTTAGAGTTTACCATATTACTCATTTCTGTAGAATTACATGTGAATCCTAGCGTCTCATCTTAGCCAGCAAAATCGTCAGGGTGGCAAATCGTGGAGCAGCATGTTCTAGTAAGAAAAGATTTGGAATCAGAAGATTCAGATGATTCTTGGTTCTGCTTTTCAATTATTATAATATCTTAGACACATTTTCTCCTGATCTTAGTATCTTCACCTATAAAGCGAGGCTAGTAATATTTATCCCACCGAGTCTGCGAATGTTCATTGAATAACTAACCAGGCATTGCGCTATGCTGCGGTGATGTTTATGAGAGTAAGGCAGGCTTCTTACTTTTAACGCACTCATAGAATATTTTAATGAATTAATGAGAGCGTGACCATTAAGAGTTTAGGAAACTATAGAGATCTAACGTAGAAGATTCTTGTTCTCTGCAGAGCACCGGCCCTAAACATGGATGGAATGAGTTTCGTCTTTTCATGGGAAGAAGTAAGACAAAGGGCAACTCCATGCTAAAGGGAATCCTCTCTGCAGAAACGTTGCTGCCATTGATTTTGGCATCCAACTAGTAGGTTGCAATTACCACGGGTGTTTTTCTTCAAAATATTTTGACCTCTGAAGAATTCAAATTATATCTTCAAGAAAATATTGATTTAGCTGCAAACCAGAGAATCTAAAAAGAATGGTTGGAGTATCTGCTCAATGAATAGCATTCAGCTGTGTGATATAAAAAGTAAATTTAATAAAATTTAACATAGAAAAAAACACTGAAGAAACACTCCTCGTAAAACTTAACATCAAATGATTTGGAGTCTTATCGCACATGGTTGCTTTTGTTTTTGTTCGTCTTGCTTTGCTTTTTATTTATTTATTTATTTTTTTTTAAGATTTTTTAAAAAATTTTTATTTATTTGAGACAGAGAGAATGAGAGAGAGAGAGCACATGAGAGGGGGGAGGGTCAGAGGGAGAAGCAGACTCCCCGCCGAGCAGGGAGCCCGATGCGGGACTCGATCCAGGGACTCCAGGATCATGACCTGAGCCGAAGGCAGTCGCTTAACCGACTGAGCCACCCAGGCGCCCCGCTTTGCTTTTTAATGACTCTTTAAACTCCAGCTCAGAGTCGGAGGTAGGTTTCTTCACACCGTGGTAGCACTGGAGTCTGGGCTTCAAATCTTACTGAATTTTGTTCTGGTAAAGCAATTTCATTCTCAAATTGAACAGGTCATTTCTTCTTTATTAAATTTCCCAGTTATTCTTTCACCTCAGGTTTTTATGTTGCCTCCTACTTATTTCTGGACTGTTCATTCGAAATGTGGGAAGGCACAAGGGTTTCTATCAAGTCCCATGTACCCGGTAGCTGTCAGTTAAAAGCTAACATGAAAAGACAGAACTCACAACCAAAATGACTGCTATTGGTGAACTTGTGTGAAGTTCAGAGGGAATTTGTGTTGGGCAAAGAGAAACGGCCCTAGTGTGTTTCCACACCTTTAGGCAGGTCTTCATTTCGGTGCAGTTTATGGAGCGGATGATGCAAATGTGGCATCATTCCAACATTTCTTGCAAGGTGCCCAATGTCTTCCTGGGAAACACCAAACAACACCTATAAGAGAAAATTGGTTGAACTACTTGTTTAATGTGCTCTAGGTTTTGAAACAGTTCAGTTATTCTACCATTTTATTTTTCAATATAGACTTTCCTTAAGATTTAGTTTAAGGAGTTAAAGGAGTAGAAAAGAATAGATAAAATATCCGTTCTTTTCTACTCCTTTCTCCTCTGCCCCCACTACTCATATCATGCCATCATATTCAAACTTTTCCTGAATTTATTGGTGATTTCCCTATGTACAGTCAATTCTTAACACTTCTAAAGAAGTAATCTTTGGTGCCATTATTTTATTCCTTAAAACACTTCACCAAGCTCAGGATCCTAATTATGGGCTGCAAAAGCCAGCTGTTTCTTCTCCCATACAACTTTGCCTCATTTTCCCACTGGTCCCTGCTCAGTACCTCTCATAGAAGTTCAGCTAGTTTGCGCCCTAGAATTGCTCTCAATTGGCTAATTTTGGTCTTACTCATGCCATCCATTTCCAATAAGTTAAATCACTTTCGGCCTTCTAAATCCAGCATGTCAACTGCTTCTTCTAGAAGGACTTCAGGACGTAGGTAGACATTCAGACAGTCTTATGTAGATAGTGTGCAGTGTGCAATATATCAATGCAGGGAAATCCTGATGAACAGTTTATCCAGTTACACAGAATCACCTTGACCTCTTATTGTATTTTTTGCTTCTCTTCCCTGCTCCCTCCTTCCCTTCCTTCTTCCTTCTCCCTCCTTCCTCCCTTCTCCCTTCCCTCCCTTTCTCTGTTTCTGTCTGTCTCTCTCTCATACTAAAGTGAGCTGTATTATTCAAAATACTTGGATTTGTTGTAGACGGGGAGGATTTGATAATCTATTTTAGTACCTCTCCATGTAGAACAAAGACTATTATTTTGGCCTTATTATATAATTATTAAATGCTAGTTATGTCATATATTCAAAACCAAAAACTACACAATAAAACTTTAACAACAAAATTCTGTGTCTAACAGTGGGTACTGCCTTCTTCAAGAGACAATGACCATAAATACCCCTAGATCAGGACTAGTCTACCTGTACTTGGATAAACAATTCCAAAGGCATTTCTGCTCAGGGTCATCAGTGCACACAGGTGTGTATGCCTTGATGCTCTCTAGTCGATTCAAGGCAATTTCTTCTTAGTTTCACAATCATAAGGCATTTTTCCCTCATTAAACAAAATTTTGTAGCTGTCTACTAGATTCAAGCACTGTGCTAAGCATTGCGGACATAGAAATAAAAGATACTTAGACTCTGGTTTAGTGGTAGGCAAATTGCAGGGGTGGGTAGAGAGAAAAAAGAGAACAAATGCAGAATTACAACACAAGATGACGAGTGCCCTCATAATACAAGTTCAGAGAATTACACTAGAATAATGAAACTTTCCTTACTGTGAGCATAAAGTATGAGCAATATTTAAAAATGCATAAAAGCACAATAAGAAAATTAGACTGAACTGTATGAAGTGATGTTCTGTAGGGCAAAATGGTAGGCTCTCAGCGATTTCGTATAGTTCAACTTACTAAAAGTTATAGTGTCTCCGCTCAGGGAAAACATCTAATAACATATTGGAATATAGTTCTCTACAATCCTTTCAATGATATTACATATTCCCAGAAAATATGCACATATATTCACATTTAAAGTGTGTCTTTTTAAAGTAAAAAAAAGAATTATGCTTTAAATTTGTTTTTTGACTTTCTCTCATTAAAAGTATTATAAACATCTAATCAAATATAAGTCTACATAATTTTTAATGACTGAATACTATTCCACAGTATGAATGAGCCATGATTTATCTATTATATCCTCATCGGTGGATACTTATGCTGTTTTCCAATTTTCACTCTGTATGCAATAGTCACTATACACACAATGCCAAAATGAACATGATGATGTGGGTCTGAGTTATTCTTCCTTAATGATTTTAAAAAGATGGCCACAAATTAAAATAACAATTGAGTAAATTAGGTAAGATTTGGCCACCAAATCCCATATTTTACCCCTCTGATTTGCATCGTATGCCAAATGTCTTGGAATGTTTAATAAAATCTCTCTACCTGTTTTTTAAGCTTCATAATTTTATTAGAAAAACATCGGCATAGAAAGAAGGTGCAGTTACGGAAGACAGGCCCAGGATGGATAACCACTCTAAGAAGAGGAGCCAGATAAACACCACTTCTCAGTAAACAAGTAACATCGAGCTACTGTAACAATTGCCCTGGTCCCTCCCCTGAGAAGGGCCAGTCACTTGCAATCGTTTGGCCTTCTTTCTGCTCCCGAGTTATTGACTTAGAGCATGACATGTTTGTATGATCGTAACTAAGTCACCAAATGGGAAATGTCTAAATCAAGTTGCAATTAATGTGTCATAAAGTGCTGGATAATAAGCCACACATGACCTCCAGGACTGACTCATTTTTAGAACTAACCCCCAGTGTAAGTCTGAAGCAGCAGAAGACTGGAAAGAAAAGAAAAAAAAAAAAAAGAAAAGAAACAATCCTTGCTAGGTTATTGTGGGGTGTGAAAGCCACACTGTTGTGGAAAGGCAGTGTGAATCCATATTATGCAGAAATCAATGGCAGCCCAATCTTTGCAGACTGCACGAGGCACCGCGTGACAAGGGCACAGCGATTCTCCTAATCAAGCAGGTTGTGTGAAAGCAAAGAGTCCAGCTGAGCTTGATATATCCAGCTGGACTTTGTTTGCTACTTAATGGAGCAGGTCATAGTTATAACAACCCAAAGAAATCAACCAGCCTCGGCTTGAGGAGCCCACGGAAAGTGTGGGAACTCCAGCAGGTCTATGTTAAATCACTTCTATAGGTCATCTGCAGGGAAAGAACTCGGCAAAATAATAAAGGAGCATCATTCTGCTGTCTGTGTTTATGATTCTTCCCCAGGGAAGGGAGTTGGGTGGGGAGGAAAAGCAATGTGACTGGAGAAACATTTTGTCTTTTTTATTCTATGCATTATAAAGCTCTTGGCAGGGCATCGGGCACTGAACTTAGGTCCCCCTTCTTGAAAGCCACACGTTACAGGGGTTTATAAGCCAGAGTGACAGTGATAAAAGGCCAATTCAGGGCTTGGGGACAATTTTCCCTAACAACATGCTTTTGCCTCTTTGCCTCCTTAAGCACCTGCTGCTTCCCGCAGCCCTCTCCAGCATAGCCTTCTGGGCAGCTCTGACTGTGAGCTGGGAAGCGCAAGTTCAAAGTTAATCTCCTCTCCTGTCACTGTCAGGGGTGTGTGTGGAAGACCAGAGCCACTGCCCTCACCCTGGCATGAAAAATACCACCCTCAGAATGCATACGGAATTCAGGAGGGGGAGATGGGGTTCTTTAACCTTCTTCAAGTCTGGGGCCACTTTTGCTTGAGGCATTGAGATCCCTCTCCCGTTCTCAACAGAGTCCTTAAAAAGCATTCCAGCCACAAAAGCTCTTGGGATTAAAGCATGCTGTACAAAAGGTGCCTGGTCAATAGATAAATGAATTAGATTGAGGAGTGACGAGTTTTCTGAATACAGGTATGTTGGGGTGCCGCGGGGAGAGGAAATGAGCGCTCTCTCGATTTGAACACTGACTACATTGTTCCTTCTCATTCCTCATTCACTGTTGAAGAGCCGGACATTGGCAACCTGCAGGGCTGTAGCCACTGAAGTTTGGTGAAGAGTCACTAGGGAAAGTGGGGAGCCCTGATAATCAATACTGTTATTAATTATATAATTATTACTTTTTAATTATATAATTATATTTTTCATGTCTGGAAAGATTCTATCAAACTGACTGGAGTAGGTTTGCCTGCTAAACCCCCCCAAGCCCCCCACTCCCCTCACCCCTGTTCAACAGATGAGTGTTCCCTTGTTCCCTGGAGGGGTGGCAGCTTTCTTTCAGCAGGGCGGGGTGAGGGGAGGAAAATGGGATTGTGGAGGCACCCGCCCTCATAAGTCTGAAGTCAGGGGTCACCCGCCCATCCTGATTCTTGTTCACATGCTGTGAAAAGGGCCGAGTTTTAGGTGGAGAGCTGCTTACACCTAAATGAAATCGTGTGGGAAATGTGAAACTTTCCTCTTTTCCTAATTGATGGCAAAATAGAGGAACCCTGAGTTGCTGGGTCTGGGCTGAGTGAAGTGTACATCTTTTCTGTAGAGGGTACCATGGTGGAATGTAACAGACACAGTGCCACAAGGCGGAGATGGGTTCAAATATTGGCTCTGCCACCGTCTTGCTAAGAGCCCCTGAGTGAGTCTCCTCACTTCTCCCGGGACTGGGCTTCCTCGTCAGCAGAGGGAAAAGTCTGGAGCCCGTGATTTTCAAAGTCCTACCTAACATTCTGGGATTATCCTTGGTGTAGTCATCTTAAGCCAAGTCCTGCTTTCTGGGCCCCGAAACTTCCTTCCTGCTGTGGGATGGCACTAGGCAGTCTTCTGCCTTAGACACCTTTGTTCTGACAGAGCCCTGGCCATTGGAACTATACACTGAACCAACCCCCGCCCCCCATTAGAGCACAGCCTTGCTGCTGTTTGGCATCTTTAATACTCCTCAGTGAAAATTCACTGTCCACAGTAATGGCCCTGGGCACTGAAAATCCTTGTTCAGCAAAGATTCCATGTTTTTAGCAGAGTGCATAACTTACAAGTCAGGAAAGTAGACTTATTAATAAGAATGGCTTAAGAACAGCAATGGCTGAAAAAGAAGAGTTGAATTGTGTCATGGGCTGAATAATGGCCCCGAAGATACCCACATATGAATCCCCCAAACCTGTCAAAGTTATCTCCCATGGCAAGCGGATTTGGCAGATGTAATTAAGGGTCTTGAGATGGGTAGATTATCCTGGAGTGTTTCGGTGGGACCGATGTAATCTCTGTGTAAAAGGGACATGGAGGAGCCAGAGTCGGATGACAAGGTAATACAATGACAGAAGCAGAGGTGGGAGTGATATGGCCACGAGCCAAGGAATATCAACAGTCTCTGGAAGCTGGAAGGAGC